TATTTATTTCCGCTTCTTGGAAAATGTCTTCATTTTGGGGGAATATTATGCCTTTTCTCTTTTGTGTTTTATATGTGGTTTTGAGGATAGCCCTTATATGGTATCATAGTGTCCACAAGGGTTCAATGGATTATTCCAAGTGAGCTTGATACTAAATGCTTAGTTGTGAAGCTCTTTCTCTTTGTGTGTTTCTTCTCAGGGGCCACGATAACAGCCAGATTAACTATATGTACGCCCAGTATGTTAAAAACACCATGCAGCCTCTGAACATTGCCGATGTCACCAAGGACCAGCGCTTTCCTTGGACGGTCTGTACTCTTTTCTTTTCTTTTTTCTCTCTTTTTTTTCTTTTCCCAAAGTGAGTAATTATCCATCTTTTTCTCACAGAGTGAAAACCCAGCTCACTCTAGCAATCAGATAAAGAGTTTGCTCTGCACTCCCATCAGGAATGGCAAGAAGGACAAAGTCATTGGTAGGCTTTGTTTTGTTGCCTGAATACAATGTTAGCATTAGCAGTTAGAAAGTAATATTGTGTTCAATGTCCAGATACATAAAAGGGAATAATAATTGTATATATTTTTTTGATAATTTAATCAGGAAAAGATTTTTGCATTACAGTATGTACTGTAGATAAAGTGGCTTATCACTGTCTTCAATTAATATCTTAGTTTTGTTTTTCTTTAAAAGTAATATAAATTATTTCTGTTTTGTGAAGCTATAGCATTAGCTAACCTTAGATTTTATGAGTTGCACCCTGAGTCAGTTGCATGCACGCAAGGAGAATACTAATGGCCTTACAATTAGTGTAGACTTTGACCATTATCCTACTCAAAACAAATGAAAGCATAAAGTTAAATTGAAAGCAATGCACGCTTTGAAATAACTGACTAACTGGTAGCATTGTAGAAGTGCTTGTGTTTTGTGCTTGCAGAGACATTCTCCTGGTACTATGGTTTCCATTTTAAAACGTGCTTGTTTGTTTTTTATTAATTACATAACACAGAATGATAATAAGATTTGGACAGTACAGATCCTGCATTAATATGGAAGCAATCCCTAAGAAATTCTGATCAGAGAAGTTTTTTTTTCTCAGCAAGTTTTTCTCAAGATCGTTCTTACCTAAATTATTAGCTAGTTGTTTGTTAGTTGGTACAAACCATTATGACATGGGATAAACTGGACTACTATTCCCGTTCTTATATGGCCCCAAAAACAATGCAAATCTAAAAACTGGCAAATGAAAAGCAAATGATATACGAAAGACAATTTTGGTATCCTTGACTGGTGTCCTGTCCAAGTGTACCCAACCCTAAAATGGTGGGAATAGATTCCAGCAAACTCATGACCCTGAGTCAGATGTTAGGTATTTACAGATTTTGTTTGACGTT